GTGAGGTTGTACAGACCTAAACCTCACATAGTTATATTTCAAAATATATATAAATATATATATATATATATATATTCCCGTGTACTAATATATTTTTAAGAAATATAAATAAAAGTATATGATATTTTAATGTTTAATAGTATTAGTATGCATCTGTTCAAAAAGTACAATAGATCGATATACCTAGCCTTTTAAGTTGTTTTACACAAAAAACTAGTACACAAGTCCGTCTGATGCACATGTTTTTAATAAATATAATTTCATATTATTTAATTTATTTATTCATTTATTTTTTTATCAATCACTAATAGAGATTTATCCATTGGGATATTCTATCAACAACTTAAAATATCTACACCTATTAATTTAACACTTTAGTTTATATTAATTTGAGACTTTGAAAGATGGATACTATTGATTCAGGGTTTAAAAAATAAAATATACCAGTTTAGAATCCGAACAATTAAAACTATCAGTTGCAATCTAAAAAAGATTCAATATATTTTATATTTTGTATTTTTATTGATTTTTTTATTTATGAATTTTATATATATTTTTATAACTGATATGACATATGAATCATTTACTAATATTTTTTTTTTTTGAAACGATAGGCATATTATAGATAAAAAACGCACAATTGTGCAAAAAGCAGCCCATGGCTGAATATTACAACCAGGAACTAGAAACTGGGAGGACGGATCGAAACCGCCTAGAGCCTCGCTAGCCACGCTAAAAAGAAAACACACAACACACAACTAAAAGACACTAACACACCAACTATGAACACTCCCCACAGGAGAATAGAAACGCCCCCCACAAGGGAATCAGTACCGGGGCCAACGGCTCAAACCTAAAAGACAAGACCAAAAATATCACAAACACAGACTCAAACATGCGAAAACTAAAACAAGAAACTATAAATCAATAGAGAGAGCCCTTCCCCAGCCAACCAACGAGCCCAAAACAGTAGAGAAACAATCGATCCAAAAAGAGCTCGAGCCCGAGGAATTGCTATCAAAACTGCGAAACCGCTTATACAGATGTCGAGCCCAAGCCCCAAACCCGTCTCGAATCAATTCACCACCGACCGAGAGAACACGAACCAACTCCCCACACCGTCACTGTCCAAACTCCTCTAACACCACTAGAACAAGCTCGGGAGTTCTAGACCCCCGCCGTCCCCAGCACTAGAGAACATGGGGGAGAGATCTGCTCGGTTCCACTACTCCGACGACCCCGACCCACCAGACGGCGAAGCCAGCTGAGTCCCAACCCGCCCACTGAAGCACTCGCAACCCAACCCACCACAGAAAGCCAACAACCAGGGCCCCAGCCTCACCGGAATCCCCACTTGAAACGGCAGAGCCGACTCCAATCACAGACCGGTAGAAGATCGAGAGCAAACCACTCCAATCGAGGACCGCCTGCGAAGAAAGGAGGAAGGCCAGACTCCGACCAAGGCGCACCACGGCAAACACATCCACGTCGGCAACCAAGGGCGGACCTCCATCGAAAACCTGTTGAGAAATTGGAGCTCACAACTTCAGGGACGGGCCGAGCAGTCGAGGCGACCACTGGCCCGAGGGTCGACGGTGATGAGGAAGGCAAGAAACGCCGGACGAAAAAGCTAGGGTTTAGAGTCGCGAGAAGAATTGGGAGAAAACAGCGAGAATCTGGTTGCCTTTAACTTTATTATATATATATATATATATATATATATATAAATTTACTAACATTTTTCTATCATTTTAAGTTTTTGTCTTTTAGGTTCGAATTGATAGTTGACTCATATTTCAAAACTCTAACTCATAAATCTCAATAATTTTTTATATGATTTCTAATCTAAAATTTAGGTATTGTTTGGTTGGGGAAAAAGGAGGGGAGGAGGGGAAGGGAGGAGTTTTTTTTAGTTTTCTCTTGTTTGGTTCAGAAAATTGGATAAGAGGGGAGGGAAAATTTTAGCTTAGAATCCCCTCCGCTTTCCATTTTTGCTCCCCTCCAAAGGTGGGGGAATTTGGAGGAGATGAATAATTTTATGACACTCAATTACAATTTTACCCTTATTATATATAAAAATTACTATTTCTAACATCATTAAAGACCATGTTTAAATACCGTACCGTACCGGCCGCTAATACCGGATACCGGCCATTGGTACAGTATAATTGCACACAAAATACCGGATTTACGATTATACCGGTTTGTACTTGGATCATACCGGAAAATACCGATCCAAAATACCGGCCAATTAAAAAAAATAAATTATTAATTTAAAACATAAAATTTAAATAGGTTTAAAATGTTTTATTTTTATCTCATTGAGAAGTTGAATTAATATTTATGGTAATTTATTTTTTTATTTTTTTTCATTTGGTATTATATATTTTTATGTATATTTATGTATATCATTATATTTGTTAGTCCGGTAATACCACTGATATTACGGCCCGACCGGTAATACCGAGTACCGGTAGCTAGACCTGTATGACCACTCGTACGGTATTTAAAACATTAAAGATATATTTGTCATTCTAACATTATTTTCCCTCCCCTTTTATTATCTTACCAAACAAGGTTTATCATTTTCCCTCAACTCCTCTCTAACAAAATCCTTCCAAACAAGATAACATTATTTTACATCACCTCCCCTTCCATTCTTTCTCCTCCATTAAAATTCCTCCCCTACCTTTTCCTCAATTGAACCAAACATAGTGTAATAAAAATTGTGATTTTTATTCTTAGGATAATTATTCGCGGTTAAAAAGGTGATTCATTAATTTATCATTTTTAAACTCATCAATTTGATATTTCAGATTGTTGTAAACAACCACTTTTATATAGTAATAAAAACAGTTTAAACTATATCATATATTGAGCAATACATATTTACAAAGATTGTTCAATTAAAATAATTTCTTTATTAATTAAATAATTAGTTCTATTTTTTCCCTTTACTAGTTATCATATAAAAGAAATAAATAATTTTTTTCATTTTCTAAAAATAAATAAAGATTATGAAAAAAAAATAGTCTTTTCATTTTTCTAAAAACAAAAAAAGAAAAAAATTGTTTAAAATATGGCTATCGAATTTTCTCTTTCAGTAATTCCATATTTATATATAAATAAATAAATATATATGTGTATTTAATTTATTTTAAAAAGTTATTACTTTAAGTAAGTAAATAATGTTTCACAGTTTTTCCTTATACTATATGTGGTGAATACTAATCTCTTTTTAGATATATGGATGTTTATTCAAGGTATCACGAATGAGACACAAGACGATAAATGTAGGAATATGTAGTTTATGTAAATAGATGTTAAAATAATTAAAATTTCATTTACATTTCATTTAAATTTCATTACCAGTTAATATGCCGTGTTAAATAATACTATATATATTATTTTAAATATTAAAACTCTAAAATACTAATGTTAACTTATTTTAAGATTTTCAAATAACGTCAACAATATATTCCCTCACTAATTTGTAACAATGACATAATAGTATAAGACACAATAAAGTCCATCAAAATTGGCCTCTTATTTTGTTCTACTTTTACTACTTTTTCACATGAAAAAAAGGAGTTAATATTACGCTACTTGATAATTAATCATGTTAAGATCTGGCCATGTCAGAGTGCGTGATAAATAAAATATGCATTAGCGCAAGAGATAAATATTAATAAGCTCTTCTTATTTATTTATAACTAATTTCTTATAGCGTTTGAGAGATAATGATCATTTCACTGAAATTTGAAAAACTTTAGGTTTTTGGAATCTAATTGAAGGATTCAATTTTAAGTTATTTCTAAATTAAGATTCGCTTTTATTTTTTAGTTCTTAATTTAAAGCCGTAACTAACTTAAGTATATTTATTAAAGTTAATTAAATAAAAAACAGAATTTATATATGTATATTTATTACAAAAATAATACATTATTCAAAAAGTTGAAATTTGAAAAGTGAAGTTTAATTAAAAACATCTATAAGCAAACAAAACAAATGAAGAGAAATGAGCCATAAAAGTAGGGGTAAAAAAATGTGTGTTGTGTTGTTGCTTGTTATTATTATTATTATCATTAATATTACAAATATGACAATAAGTAAAAAACTTAACCAAATATATTTACTTCGTGCTTTCAAGTTGTGCTCTTCGTATTATTAGTCTTTATATATATATTTTTCTAATTGTATATGTCGTGATTTGGTGTCATGTTAATCATTGTCACTCGCTCATCTCCATGCACATAAGTCACATGGGTAACGTTTTCAAAACGGGCGATTGCCTGCAGAATTGCCCATCGGCCCATCTAAACGGTCGGGATGGGCTTTTGTCTGACAAGTCCGTTCAATCGTGAGTCATTGTTTTTATATTTTATTTTATAAAGTTATTTTTCATTCTATAGTAACCAAAATTCTATATTGTTGCAAAAAATTTACAATTTTCCCTCACTTTTTCTCCATAGATTTTGGACGAGTGAAAGTGTTTATTGTACACGCAAACTAATAACCCCAACTTTATCACTACATTATCAGTAATTTTCTTTTTCAATTATTATCCAAGTGAAAAATAGATTCACATCACATTACCTAGACGAAAACCTTAAAACCGGCAACATGCAATTTCCAAGAAACTTGTTTTGCCATATTCAAGCATTTGCAAGTGTCATCCATTTTACACTCTGGTTAACTGCAGGGTGGCCCGCGGGCTGATGTGGATGGGCTACGATCAAAGGGGCCACTTTGGGCAGCCCCGTTCAAACCGCGGGCCGGAGCGGACCTGCCTGCTTGACACTGGGTAACAATAAGCGAGAGCCTTTAGGCCTGGCCACAACCTTTACACTTTGGGCTACATAATATAACTAAGCCCAATACAGCACAGCCCACAATAGGCCAGGCCCAAAGAAAATTACGCTCCAATGAGCAGCCCGTGGAATCTCTCTCTCTCTCTCTCTCTCTCTCTCATATTTCGCAGATTTGCAATATTTCCAACCATGGAGATTTCAAACATTCAAGAGGTAAACATGCAGTGCTGCATCTATATCCTCGCTAAAATCGAATTTTCTGAAAACGTTTGTGAAATACGAAATTTCGCAGGTACTGACAGTGGCGAAGGCGGTGGAGGACAAGATCGATGATGAGCTCGCGGCGATGAAGCGGTTGGATTTGGACGATATGGAGGTTCTCAGGGAGCGGCGGCTGCAGCAGATTAAGAAAGGGCGGAGAAGAGGAGGCACTGGGCCATTTTTACCGCGAGAATTGGCCTTAAAAGGTAACGGGCTGTCTCGAATGGCGTGCCTTGATTTCTGTGAAATTGGCTGGGTCGTGCTCTGGTTAGGTGATTGTTTGGCTCTGTTTTGTGTGGTACTGAGCAATTTGTATGTTTTTTGAAAGCTCGTTCGTTAAATTTGAAAACTGGGGATCATGATTCTATTGAAATTATGTCGAATGCGATTGAAGAGGGTAACTGGAAGTTTGGTATGCCATTTTACGGGGTAATGTTCATTTGCTCATTGGGTGCTTCGAAATGTTTGTCGGCTATTTCTCTTTTTCGTGTTTTTTAAACCAGAGTCAATAGTGTGATGGACATAAATATGAGCCATGGTTAAGTAGGAATTTCGTAGTGTCTTTGAAGAATTTATTTTGTTCATCTGGGTGTGTAGGACTTACTAATGGAAAAAGAAAAATTTCATTGAGTTACAGATTCATTTGAATCTGTTTGGCGCTGTAAGTTGGTATCGTTTTGTGTCATGACATACTTTTTCTCAATCAAATTTGTATTTCCTTGAATTTGTTTGAAGTAATGGAAGCTGCATGTAGCCAATAGTCGTATTAAGTATTAACTGACAGAGACTCGAGTCAATAGCCATAGGACAATGTACGCAGTGCTATTTTTTCTTTTTTCTTTTTCAGCCTAAATTTGCCCTAGATTCTCATATTGAAGCATGAGTGCCATTTCAAGATTCTTTCTATATATAGTCTCAGCATGCCTGAGGATTTGGTGTATTCCAACACGTGTTAACTGCAGGTTGTGAACAAGCATTTGGCTATTCTTGCAAAGCAACATATCGAGACACGTTCTTTGAAAATCAATGCCGAGAAAAGTCCATATTTGAGTGAAAAACTCCTGATTGTTGTTCTCCGGACCCTTGCAATTGTAAAGAATGCGTAAGTGGAGGATTATGTGGTAACTTACCTGCAACTGCTAATTATTCTGAAATTTGGCTTCAATGGGGGAAAAAGGTTTTTCTTGACAAAATTCAGTTTTCTTCTCCTTTTATTCTTTTTATACGCAAACTAGGTGGGTTTTGACGAGCTTGGGGCCATAGATGACTTCAGCACAAAGGAATTAGAAGAGAGGTTAGCTACAGCAAAGGTCATCTTTTACGAGGATGAATCCTCATTCAACGCATCCAAATCTATAGCCCCGACCAAGAGCGTTCGGCAAGGCTCGACTTCATTTTCATCAGACTCTGAATAGTTTTGTAGCTGTCGATATTTTCTTCAATGTTTTTNTTTTGCAGCATTACACCACAACACTTGGATGGATTATTTTGGCTAAATCTGTCATGAGGTGTCTATAACATTAATATACAGTCGCATTGAATTTCAATATCAAACATCGACATTTTCGGTAGTTGTTTTGGGAATTTGTTTGATGTTGATGCTTCTTAACTTGATGGGTTCAATGGATGGTGTTTTTCATGAATGCAGATTGTACTAAAATGCGATAAATCTGTTTGTATCATTTTACTTTGTCTTGGCAGTCTGCTGATTGTCGAATACGTCTTAAATCATGAACAGTCTGTAATAAGAGAGCGACTAAGCAAGGGTGAATTTATTCCCTATGAACGTTGTTGCCAACTAGAGTTGTCATGGACAAATCTACAAATTAAGAATAGACTGGACTAGAATTTTAAAAACTCATTTTCATAAAAATGATATAATATTTTTTCTTAAAATATTCATTGAAGTTGTGCTCGACGAGCTTCTACAAAAACAAATTTATTATGCTCATTTTGCACTGTATTTGATGTATTTTCACTAGTTTGATGTCGATCACGTTTTCTAAAGAATGATGATATCAATGGAGTTTTTCTTTTATTGGCCGAAGGTTGGTGCTCCTTGTGAATTTTTAAAGATTCCTACTAATAAATAGATTTTTCATATGACATAGTTATTAGCAAAATGAAATGCCTACATATCCTAATTTTATATACAACTATGATATACAACAACCACACTAAAGTATATGAGATTAAAAAAACACACATACACACACAATTACTACTTTATACACAATCAACAAAACAAGAATTGCAACCAAATGATCCTAGCAATTACAATTAAAACCGTAAATAGATCAACTAAAATGAGAAGATAGATAAAGACAATTAGACAAATGAAATAATATCTAATAAGGGGTTTAAAAATATAACTTACTATTAAATAACAAATTAACCCGTGTTCATAAAAGTAGTATCTTTCTTGTTCAATAGTTTTATTTATTTATTTGTTGTTCTTCTAAATTCATTGTTATGGTGTTCAAGGGAGGGACATGACTGCGACTAGTTTATTTCATTGGAGTTTGGTGTATAGTGATGTTTTGCGGGCTAGTGCTTAGTGGGAAGGTGGTTTAACAATATATAATATTAGAGTTGTGTTAGTAGTCTTTTGGGCTTAATAGATAAGTGAATTATTTTGGTGGGTTAGTAGGTTGGTTTATTGGGCTAAGCTAGAAATACAATTTTTTTTTTTCAAACTAATAGGTGATAAAAAAAATTAATAGGCGTGGGCTTCAACCCAACCCAGGCCTAAGAGAGATCCGTTCATGAGAGCTGTTAAACGAAACAAGCTGCTCTGAACTCGGCTCGGCTTGTTAAGGCTCGAGATCGACTCGGCTCTTTTATCATCTCGAGCTCGTTTAAAGCTCGTTTTTTAGTGAGTCGGGCTCGGTTCGGCTTGATAAGGCTCGAAAAGTGAAATATTGTATAACTTTTTGTAATTCGGCTTGTTAAAACTCAAGATCGACTCGTTAAGGTTTAAACTCCGCTCGTTAGTATTGATAAACGAGTCGGACTCGAGCTCGGATTTTGCTCATTTACTTGATTAATAAAAAAGTAACGAAAAAGGGTGAGAAAACAAAGAGTTTTATTAAATTCTTTGCTAGCAATTATATATCTCTCTTATCTATATATGAAGAAGTTAGTACACGTATACGGCTAATTTAACTGTACTAAGTACTAAATTAAATTTAAATCCAATAAAATAAAATAAAATGTAATAAAAACTTTCATCGTGCACAACATTATGTATCTTTCGACTGTTCCTCTCTGTATACAAATATATTTATTTTTTGATTTGTTATTTTTATAATTATCATTATAACTAGTTATGGTCTAAATTTTCAATTACCAGTATATAATATATTAAATTTTTATATTATAGTGATACACAACTTATGATGTGTTCGGCAAGCATATAAGTTTGCTTATCGCTTATTTGATTAGCTTATATGCTTCATGTATTCAAATAAATTTGGTTTGGTAGGATGGAAGCTTATCTCATAAGTTTCTGTGAGTAGTTTTTCAAATAAGTATTATTGAATTTTTTTTTTTCAGCTAGCTTATCAGCTAAATTTATCAAACACTTTTGTCGTATAACCTAGTTTTTCAGCCATAAATCATCAAATACTTTTATCATATAAGCTAGCTTTTCAGCCATAAGTCTTAGGCTATGTTTGGTAGACAAATAAGCTAGCTTATAGCTTATATGGTTAATTTATAAGCTCTCTGTATTCAAATAAGTCTCGATTGGTAGGACAAACTTTTTTAAAAAGCTCGAGCTTATTTGATAAGCTTCTTTAGATAGTTTTTCAAATAAGCTAGCTGAGTTTTTTATTTCAGCTAACTTATCAGCTAATTGTACCAAACGTTTTTATCATATAAGCTAGTTTTTCAGCTATAAGTCATAAGCTATAAGTTATAAGCTAAAAAATTAATGATAAGCTATAAGCTTTATTATCAGCTAGTTTTACCAACATAGCCTTAAGCTATCAGCTGTAAGCTCAAAATTCACTTACAAGCTATAAGCTAGCTTCAGCTAAATTTATCAAACATAGCCTTAATAACACGACTCACAATAAATTATATATTTAAAAACTTGATTTTATACATATCACTACTATTACATATAACATTTGTTATTTATATTTTTTTTTTTCTTTTAATTTTTGAAAGCATTTAAAGAATAAATCAAATTCAATTATTTTTTATCTAAAATATGCAGATAAGTTATGAAATTGTTTTCATATAAACAAATATAAAAAAAATAGTTTTATATGCCTCTATGAGTGATAAATAAATTATTAAATAATAAGTATAGAAGAATTAAATTATTTATTTTATAGGTAAAAGCTAATAAACAACCAATAATTATTGAATATTATAGACAATCAAAATGTTTATTTATGTAGTAATGTGAAAAAACGTAAAAGCTCTTTGTCTAGTCATACAATAATTTTTTTCTATAATGCATACAGATGTGGATATAGATTTAAGTATTGTCTTCTCACTAAACATAAAATAAATTTCTTCAATAATACATAGATGGGGAAATAGATTCAAGTATTGTCTTCTCATTAATTATATACAGTTTGTATTAAAAAATTGATGAGAAGCTAAATAATTATTAAATTTTAAAAAATAATATTAAACTTGATTTATAGTATTTAGATTGGTATACTTCAATTAATATTCGACCCAGAGAACCTTAATATATCTATTTCTAACCTTATTCCACTTTACTAATATATATAAATATAGATTCGAAATTAGCAATTGTAATAAACCAAGCCTTGCTAATATATCCTAAATACTTTTAATACCAATTTAGCATATTAATCCGAATCACCAAATTAAATATTCTCTTAAACTACACGTTCAAATAACATAAAACTGAAAAAAATAAAAATTGTTAACAAATATATTACACTAATATAAAAATAACCCAACAAAGAACTGCATTTAAACCATGGAAGACAAGAAAAGATCATTCCTGTGCAGATCCACACTTATTTTACAAAAAATTAGATAAGATAGACCCTATAGTATTTTTTCAAGTTCCAACTCCCACCAACTCTATATAGTTCAATACAGACTACAGAATATAAGGCCTCGCACAACAAAAAGCATATCCAAGAATTACTCATAATACTACATTGTCCACAAACAACATAACCTAGAATGCACAAACAATGTTAATTAACTTCAAGTTTAGTTTTCAGCTGACAACACAAAAAAAANTGGGGGCTGGGTGGGAGGCCTTCATCTTCATGGCTAAATCAAGGTCGAAGCTTAATCCCTTTGGTACGCGCGAGAACTCGTTTTCCATGAGGGTGACTGTGCAAGGATGCATAATTGTACTGAATAAGCTTCATCAATGCGTGCTGAGCTGTTCCCTGTTATTATTGTTGTTAAGTACTTGGTAAGTAACTCATAATACTCACCAAAATATACGTAAATGATACGTAAATTGACGAAAGGAATCAACAATTTAAGTATCCGTAAATGTGTGTAACGAACCACTGATAAGTACTTGGTAAGTAACTCATAATACTCACCAAAATATACGTAATATAAAATGATATGTAAATAGATGAAAGCAATCAACAATTTAAGTATCCGTAAATGTGTGTAACGAACCACTGATTAATAAGTAGAATCAAGATTCGTAGGTATATGTAGTTTTCAAAACTTACGAGAATCAGGAAATCATATTTCCATCCTATATCATAAGTTTGCTTTCATAGAAGGAAACTGTTTGAGTGACAAAATGACAGTAATAACAGAGTGAATGCATAAAATTCGGAACTTCGGAATAACTGGTAGAAAATCGACACGTATAGTAGTGTTTGACAGGGATATTTAGTGGCTTCGATTTTAAAAGATTATGTAAATGTGTAAAATAACAAAATCATGTCACATGCATTATGTCAAAAAAGCATGTAACGTGTAATCGTCTATGTTATTGTATATCATCAGTGACCCAAATTAGCATTTCTTTTTCACTTCGCAACTCTATTTATTGCAGGATTACGAAAAAAAATAATAATAATAAAATCAACAACATGCCTCAGTTTTAATCTCAACAACTTAAAGTTTTTACCTTAGAGACCATGAGTGCAGATTGGGCAACATAGTTTCCATAAGGATCTAGCAGAACCCTTAAGAAGTGGGGGCTTCGAATGAGCTCCTCAATTATGGGAAGCGCTTGATCACCTTCCGATTGTTTCAGGCATTGCTCCACAACATTGCTCCCATACTTATTCATCGACAGCGACACGTAATTCCCGGATAAACTCGCCATTATGTCTGATGTCACGTGCAACATCTTGAATCCCAGTATATACTGCACAACATAATTCCTAACACCAAAAACAAAATAATAGTATATACTTATTGTTTAGATTCTGTGTCCTAA